AAATAGACTAATCATCTATAAAATACAACTTGTTGTCTCAAGATCTTGTCATAAAAATCCATTTTTAAGCAAAGAGGCTGCCTCTATAGTTGGAAGCTCTTTGTTATGTATAGTCTGCATGTTAAATGTCACGTAAAAAAAAAATAAACAGCTCATCCTGGTCAAGTGTTTTGTCTCAAAACTTTAAAGCAAAAACCCAGTTTGACCCCAGAAATGGAAGATTTTTTGTTTTTCACACTGGCATATTCTAGGACAATAACGCACATTATGCATTTTTCAAGACTGAATTATCTTAATTATGAGCTTGTTACGTAGTTCAGTGCTGTCATCATCCTATACAAAAGACTGCATTAAAACAGATTCAAATCCCATTTAAAAACAGCAAAAGTTGCTTAGAGGGTAGAAAATATAAAAACTAAATAAAAATAATTTGTATAATTTTACATAATGAAGAGATAAGGTGTGATGTGAGCATGCCTACAGTCTGAGTGATAAGCCCGATAAACCCCATATCTTGTGGACAATTAATATTAAGACAGGTGATCCATTGTGGTTTGTGTTTTATGTAAAAAGTAAAGCAAGCTGGTCTAAACTGTCATTCTGAACACCGTTTAGATTCTGTTGGAGAAGGGCATGCGTTTACATTTTGTTTACATTAATAACACACCTCCTGTTTTAATCTTCATCACCCAGAAGCAAAAAAAAACAACATCTAATAAACTGATATTATACAGGAAATGATTTGAAAATGGATTGTTTGTCACTGTATTGTCATTGTGTCGGCCTCCTGACCTGTCTGCAGTGGGCCCTGTTGATCTCTGGCTTAGGGAGAGGCGTAATCTTTTAACACCTTTCTGACAGATTTCTGATTGGAGTCTGCAACATGAACTTTCAGACGTTACACTGAATAAACACTGGATCAACAGCTCAGTTTGACGCATAGGTATTTGAATTATGGTCTATGGCATCTTTAAATAAGTCAGGAGTCAGACGGTAATCATCAAATTGCTCTTTTCATTATGAAAATGTAGAATTAGGTGTTTGCTGTGTGCTCTTGGGGGGGGGGGGGGTTCCCTAATCTACACAGAGATTCTCACTAAGCAGATTATCTCCATAAATATGTCAGGATGTCAGGATGCATAGCTGGATGTCTAGTTATGCCCAGACAGAGTGTGAGAATGTGGACACAAAACATGTTTACAGTAAGATGTGTCAGTGGAGCCTGTACAATGCTGACATCTGCTGCTCAAATTAAACCGTCTGTCCTCAGAAACATTTGCTTTGAACTGGGGAGAGCTGCCCTGTGGTTGATCTGTGATAAAATAAGATGAAACAGGAAAAGTATGTTTTATTTAAAGACCATTTCCTGTGTTCGACTTTTACCTTGGGCGAACGAACAGCGTTGACTCACAGCTGTCCGAGGTGCAGCACAAGCAGCGTAATGTGTGTGGGGGTGGGAGGAACCAGATGTTCTCCTCCTCTCCTTCTACCCCTCACACCACAGGTGGTGGGAAAAGGGGAAGAGTGCGAGGGAGAAGAGAACGAGTGAGTGAGAAAGGATGGCAAACAGGAAGCAGAGACTTTAAAACACAATACTCGCAGAGTTTCCTGCAGGCTCTCGCAGATAAGGAGCAGCACTTTGTTAAAGTGGCATTTTCACCTCCAAACGTTCCCCGCTCCTGAAATCACATCTTACTGAGCTTGTAAAACGTTTATGCTGAGCAGCTGGGACATCGTGCAGAAGAAAACGTGGAAAACATTTAATGCAAGAACAATTACAACCGTTATTCTGCAAGACACTAAGCTCAAAAGAAGCAGAAACACTGAAAAAATTATATGAATTGTGATTGTAACAATTAGACTAATGTTAATGTTAAAAAGGCTTAATTTAGGAGAGAGGCTTGGAACAGTAAATGCTATGTACATTTAATTCAAAGGATGAGCTTAATCATAAACAATTATTATCCCAGCTGCCTCATAATCCACACACCTCTAATCTGCACAAAAACACCACATTTCTCACCACGAAATAAATCAAACCACTGTGCGCTCAAGGAGCCACTCGACACTGTTAGGTTGAACTTTCTGCTCAGCTGCCATGCAATCAAAGCTAAAAACCATAGAAATAAACATTCAGACACAATGAGGTCAAGTGCTGCAATATACTGTGAATACGAAGCACTTCACTTCGGTCTGCTCTTTTGTACAATTACATCTGAAACAATTAACCAAAACATTGACTGGGAGATTATTACCTGCCAACCTTCATGTCGAATGTTAATGAACTTTTAGTGAAAGGAAGTGGTTTTGTGAACTTTTCTGCTGTAAGTTCAACTTGACTGGGTTTAGGTAACTCTATATGTTTATTAATGTTCGTCTGATTCGTCCTCAAATCAAGTCAAATTTGTTTGAAACAGAGGAACTGTACTTTCAGTTTGTATTCATATCATAGTGTTGGGTGCATTCATGAACTTAGTCACCCTGAGGAGAAAAAAGAGACAGGATGAACCAACACACACCATGTTGATGCTATAAACTACACCTGATGACAGTCTAACAATGCCAATACAGCTGTGACCTTTGCCCTTTCATTTGCCCGTGATCTATTTATGGAAGCTAAAGTTTCTGTTGCTGATAAACAGCATGAAATTGTGCCGAGTTGATATTTTATTCTTTAAGTGTAACATCAGTTGAGTATATTTTTGATGAGCCACAGTAAATAAATAAACAATTAGTTGGAACATAAACTGAACATTTGAATTGATATTTATTTATTTTGTGTTAGAATGTCTTAGCGTTTAAGAATACCTAAGAAATTAATAAGTTTTGTGTGAATAAGAGCAGTTTAAAGGTTAAAATTAACTGGATAGTTTTCTTGTACTTTGTTTACTGTGAATTGACCGTAAAATGAATGTCCCAAAACATCAAACTTGTTATACCATCATCAGGAAAGCTAGTTTGAGTTAGTTAGTTTTAGTTTTAGCTGAAGTATTTTTAGTGTTTTTTTTTGTTTTTAGTTAACGTTTTTCTTAGTTCATATCTTAGATCTTATTACTGTTTTTCTTTTACATTTTAATACTTTTGTTGGATGTAACTGGGACCCTGTGTACACAATTTCGTTCCACCACATGTACCACATGTAGTGTGTATGACAAATAAAGAACGTTGGATCCTTGAATCCTTGAATTAATTCATGTTAAAAATAATCCTTTAAATATTCTAAAACCTTAAAAACTAATCCTAAAAACGTGTGTTTTTGGTGTGTGTGTTACCAAGTGAAAATACTATTAATATGTATTAATATTTGTTTCCCCCACTTATTAAACAGTAACTTGGGGAAAGAGAAAAAGAGAAGTCATATAATATACAACTGCACCCTCTGTTGAAATGTAGCGGTATTGCAGCAAATTATTACTTAAACTTCAATGGAAATGTGGCTTCTATTTTGCTTCATTTTTTATTTATTTAATTTTTACAATTTATAGTTAATACCGTTTAAATTTGTATAATGTAGCATTTTTCAAGTATCATGTATATTTAATCAATATCAACAGGCTTAAATACTGAGGTAAAATGATGGAAGTCGGCTGTCTTGTCGCATAAAACTACGTTTCCCGTCATGCAACGGCACGCTACACTCCCTCCTGACCTCTGTGACCGAAATAATCCGATCAGCTGATCTGACCTAGCAACAACAAAACGTAGCTAGAGAAGTCTGCCAGGGAGGGGGCTGAAGAACAAAACAATGACGCTGCTCGGCAGGACACAAACACAGTAACACTTTTAAAGACTTTTGTAACGGAATCGCGCGGATTTCCCTCTTGTTTTAAAGTCAAGTGTTTCTCACATACAGCAACGGCTTTTATTTAAGCTACTTCAGCTCAGTTGTTGGCAGACTGTTAGGCTAGCTATTTGTTTGGACGAAAGCTGTCTGCTGGCTCGCTAATTGCTGCTTATCTTTGTAGAAAAGTTCAAATATCAGTAAGCCAAGTATTTCTTCTTTTTTGCTCAATTGTAAACCGAATTTAATGGCGAGCTGTTGAGAGTTAGCTTGTTAGTTAGCCTGTTAGCATAATTTGCACATTTGTTTATTTCAGGTAAGGCTCATTGTCCGGATCGAAATGGACTACTTGTTCATTCTGTGTTAATTTTCTTCACCATGTGTAAGTAGGGAAAGTATTGAGTAAGGAAAATTTAGTGTTTAATTTTTATTTGTGCTGGACATAAATGCCAACTGAACTTGCTGCACAAGTTTACCTGCTGGTTAAACGTAAATAAAGGAGTGAGCTGTTTATTAGGTGCAGTAAATCAACTTGTGTGGAAGTGTTTGAATTGAAGCAGCAAATATACATTGACAGCTTTTATCACTGTTAAGACTTATAAGCTTTCATTTAAGCTAATTTTGTAGTATTTTGTCATTTCACTTCAGCATTAGTGGATATTGGGCATTTTATTGGAAATAGCTGGTGCTATTGTCATAGCTATTCCAATAAGTTTTTTTCCCTTGTAAGGAACGATGAGTGGCCATGGCTCATCCTCTGAAAAGGGAGTTAATACTAGTTTAATATGTCAAGAAAGTTACTCATGTGGTGGTTCTGAAGAGGCTGCTTTTGAGTGTGATGACTGCAAAAGCCTACAGTGTGTTCGATGTGAGCTAGAGCTTCACAGTCAGGAGAATTTTATGAGCCACGAGCGCGTCCCAATAGGTCCTGGGCATGTTCCCTACTGTGATAACTGTAAAGGAGGTAATGGAGACAATGGCAAGCATTACAGGTCTGTTGTTCGCTGCCAGAATTGCAAAGTCAATTTGTGCCAACACTGTCAGAAACGCACCCACAGTGGGAGCAGCAAGAAGAAACACCAGCTCATACCATATCCTCCATCACACAAACCTGCAGAAGTCAACTCTGTCAAGAAATCTGTCGAGCACATTGTTCAAATAATTGACGAGACAGAGTTTCACAGAACCAAACTTCTGGAGAGGGTAGCCAGCTTTCTGCTTGTTGACGAGAATGAGGAAATGCAGGTGAGTTGTGCCACTTGTCGTTCAATTGGAATAAAATGCAGTTTATTTTAATTCACTTCTAAGTTGTTAGTTGGGTTGGGGTTTTTTTACATTATTTGAAGCAACTTGTAAACTTTGTGTTATTCTTCCCAAGATTAAAGATGAAACTTCATTTGTGAAGTGTCTCTGCTGCGACCCTGACCAGCTGCTCAAGGTGGTATCCATCTTTGGTAACACAGGAGAGGGCAAATCTCACACCTTGAACCACACATTCTTCATGGGTCGAGAAGTCTTCAAGACTTCTCCCACACAGGAGTCGTGCACAGTGGGTGTGTGGGCAGCATTTGACCCCATCCATAAAATTCTAGTCATTGACACAGAGGGACTTCTCGGGAACAGCTCCAAACAGGGTCAGAGGACCCGTCTCTTACTCAAGGTGCTCGCCATCTCTGACCTCATCATTTATCGCACCCACGCTGATCGTCTCCATGACGATCTTTTCAAGTTTCTTGGTGATGCTTCAGATGCTTATCTGAAGCATTTCACCAAGGAGCTCAAAGCCACCACAGCCCGCTGTGGCCTGGACGTCCCACTGTCTACCTTGGGTCCTGCAGTAGTCATCTTCCATGAGACTGTCCACACTAAGCTGCTGGGTTCAGGTAAAACATCCATTCATTTATTTATCATAGTAGTGTCATACTTATAATAGGCATAAGTATTTTTAGATTGTACTTTGTTATTGTGTTAAAATGTAGTTCTGTGACGATGTTAAATATGTCACACACACACCCCCTTTAAAGTATTTTAAGAATTCATCATTGCACATGGTTACAAGTTTAACAAACGATAGAGCTGCAGTAAAGATGCAGAAGCTATCCCAGTTCTATTTTCAAAATATGTGTGAACTTTTGCATACAAACTTTGGTACTCTGACTTTGTCCAATTTTCTCAAATGTTTTAAAACATGAGACTTACTGAGAGGAAAGCGGAAAAAAGCAAAATAACATTATTTTAAATTTTGAAAAGAGTATTCCTTTCACGTCCTAATGCAAATGCAGTAAATTTAAAAAAAGTGTTAAATGATTCATCTGCAATGGAAGCCATTTTATGTTTGTCCTTTTGTAGAAAAATCATCAGAGTCAGTAGATCGGTTGCTCTTGGAGCGCTTTAGGAAGCTTTCCCGTTATCCAGAAGCCTTCAGCTCTGTTCAGTATTGGGGCACGCAAACTCTCAGTCCCCCTACAGACTTCCGTGGCTTGCAGAATAAAATGGAGCAGCTCCTAAACAACAGCGCTACCCGCTCCCCACGCACTCCCTTGGTCATCTTCAAAGCGCTTCAGGTAAGGCTGCATACAGAAGTCATGTCAGTCTTTAAGTAACGATCACACTTAACATAGTTCCTGCTGGTTTACCCTCACATATTCTGTAACTCCGTTTGTGAAATTGCACTTTATAACAAAAAGTTTTGTGTTAATGTCTGCTTCTGATTATTGTTTTTGCAGGCACTGAGTGAGCGCTTCAATGGGGAAATCTCAGGCGAGCCAGCAGCACACAGCTGCTTCTTCCCTGACGAGTACTTCACCTGCTCCAGCCACTGCCTCAGCTGCAGGTCAGTTCTTCCTGCCTTTTGTTTGAACAACAAAATTATTATATCTCCTTCATTTTTTTATTGATGAACAATATGATTTGCTTCGTTTATCACAGGTCTAAATGCAAGAATAGTATGAACCACCTAGGAGAAGGAGGCCGCCATGATCCGAAGCAGCGGTGCTGTTACTCATCTCTGTATGACAATCGCATTTACACCTGTAAGGTAAGCAGAATGGTTCAAACAACTTAAGGTTCCCATTTTTAACAAACACTTCCTGTATTACTTTGCTGTTAAGTTGAAATCAATATGTTATGCATCGTATCAGGCTTGTTATGAAGGAGGAAAGGAAGTAATAGTTGTCCCAAAGACCTCTGCATCATCAGACTCACCCTGGATGGGTCTTGCCAGATTTGCCTGGTCTGGGTGAGTAGATTAGACAGATAATTTTCCAGTAAATATATACAAAATTGGGGAAAAAATGCAGTAAATATAAAGTTCTCTTTTGTTAAATGTTTTATTTTTGTTGTTAAATGTATGATTAGGTATGTTATTGAGTGCCCTAACTGCGGAGTGATCTATCGGAGCCGTCAGTACTGGTATGGAAATCAGGACCCCGTGGACACAGTTGTCCGCACTGAGATCCACCACATTTGGCCAGGGGTAAGAAACCCTTACAGTTTGTCTCTTTTAAATATTATTTTTGCGTATATAGATTATTTTACAGAGTTTGAACTGTAGCTACAGTTCAATAGTTGTGTGTGTGGTTTTGCAGGCTGATGGCTTTTTAAAAGACAACAGCAATGCTGCACAGCGGCTTCTGGATGGAGTCAACCTAGTGGCCCAGTCCATGTCAGAGCTCAGTGTCAAACCTGCCAAGACTGTCACCTCTTGGCTGACAGATCAGATCGCCCCAGCCTACTGGAAACCCAACTCCCTCATCTTGGTGAGTGACGCTCAGACCCACCCTCTGCCACCCGCCCCCAGCAGCCAAGTCAACACTTTCTTGTCCAGCATGTTTACTTTCTGTAGAGCTGTGCTGCTATTACACAACTCATGTTGTGCATGTCACAAGATCAAATTTAGAATGACTGCTGCTCACTTTAGCTCCTAATCAATAACAGCATTTGATTTTACTGATTTTTTTTTTTTTGGTTTTGTTTTGGTTTTTGTACAAGATGTGCCGCAAGTGTCGTGCAGTCTTCCAGGATAATGACACCAAGCATCACTGCCGTGCCTGCGGGGAGGGTTTCTGTGATGGCTGTTCTTCCAAAGCTGCGCCCGTCCCTGAGAGAGGCTGGGGTCCTGCCCCTGTCAGAGTCTGTGATATCTGCTTCGAGCAGAGAGCCTCATACGCAGGTACACATTCTGTGGTTGCTCATGCTATTTCTTTCCCTGTTTTATGCTGGCACTTAATATTTATGTAAGTAATGTTTTTTCTTCTTCGTGCAGAAATACTTGCATCAGAGCTCGAGGAGGAGGAAGGTAGTAATCTTGCTAGGAAAGTTGGTGAAGCGGTTACCAACACCTTAGGAGTTGTGGTCACTGCTATAGATATCCCTCTTGGTAAGTTTTGCCCCAAACCTAATGGGTGTAAATGTTAAAGGTAATGTTAATATACATTTCTGCAGCGCCCTCTGGTGGCATGGGCTCTTCAAAATTATTTACAGTAAAAAGACAAAGACAGGAGTCTAGATAATAAAGTTGACCAAATAAGGAATCTACAGTATATATTTACTGTGACAGAGCTCATTATGTTACATAAATCTCAAACTATCTGTAAAAAAAATTCAAGTGCCACAGAAAAACAAAAGCAAAGAAATGTCTACAAACATTGTTAGGTGTGGACTGTTCTCTTAAACATGTATCCTCTTTACAATTATCAACTCCAAAATTGTAATAATGTTATTACAAAAAACAATATTAAGAATATTGCAGAATTTTCTTAACCTTTGTTTCTTCATCTCAACCTTAATTAAGAAAAATAACACATAATAATCTTTATTATACTTATTTGCTCACAGTAGGGTGAAACTAAAATACCAAAAATAGCATAAACAGTCAAGAGCAGCCTAAAATTTCATAATGCTTTCCATATTTTTTAAACTCGCCAGCAAACTTGTTTTACAAGTGTGAATCGTCAAAAGATGCATTTTATTTTCACTGGCTTCAAACGTACAATTAGCCAAACTATATTGCAGTGGTGACCATCCTCGCCAATGCTCTGATATATAGCTGCTGTTTCGACACCAGTTTAAACGGCATCTGATCCAGAAAATGGCTTCATCTTTATCAGTGCGAAATTAGAGTGATATTCACATTTCTCAAGGGTTGTGGGTATATATTTTGTTTTGTTTAAACTGCTGTGAACCAATCATTGATTTATATTTTATTACTCAGTTTAAATCCTCTCTTGTTCATAATTTAGCTCATTCCTTATCACACTGAATTTTTTTTTATCTATAGCTTAAAAAATAATGGTTGTGAAGCAATGAGAGATTATAATCTTTTTTTTTTTTACTTTGAATAACTTGAGTTTTTCCACTGTTAGAGGTATTTTTTCGACTGATTAGAGTTGCATTCAACTACAGATCCTGCGATACACCTTAAAGATAGCAGATTTTATGAGTTAACTGAGGATATTAAACTTGAAATGGCTGTGACAGGAATCAAACGGGGGATATTTAAACATGAAATGTTCAGAGCTGTAGTTTTATAACAGCAGGACACTTGTTTGTGAAAATCAACCTGAAATGTTCTGTAGATGGAGTAAACTAGCTCTGCTCTGTGGAATACGACTGTGCAGCCCTTGAATACACCAAATTCACGAGGATGCTTGTTAATAGCATGAATTTAATATTTATTTTGTGTATATTTTGTTACTTAATCATGTTGTCAGCCTATGTTAACCACTGAATAGCTTAGATGATTAAGATTTTGATCACCTGATATGCCGCTGACAATAACAGCCCACAAAGTCTGCTCCAATCACAACATTACCCCATTAACTTCCATGTTCCACATTCTGATAGTAACCAACACTACAGCACCTAAATACATTTTTATTTTTAGTATTGTACACTTAAAAGTTGAGGTGGCATAAGTATGCTCCAGTGAGTGCAGTGATATTAACTTTACAGGCATGTGAATGTCATGTCACTGAGTGCATTTATGTTGCATCGTTCCTTCAGGCTTAGTGAAAGACGCAGCCCGTCCTGCCTATTGGGTCCCTGACCAGGACATCCTATCATGCCACAACTGCCAGCGTGAGTTCACTGCCAAGCTGTCCAAGCACCACTGCCGTGCCTGTGGCCAAGGAGTGTGTGACGAATGCTCCCCCGAGCGCCGACCAGTCCCTTCGCGTGGCTGGGACCACCCTGTGCGTGTGTGCGCCGGCTGCAACCAGAAACCCGGAGAACTTTAATTTAGGGGGCTTTCCTTCCTCAGAGCACCAGAGATGATAGTGCACTCAGCAAGCAGTCTGTCGCTGCTGAAGTATACCTCTTGTACTCTAATGGTTCTGTCTCGCGTCTGTGGAAAGGAAATCTTAGGGGATACTTAAAATATTTAGTTGATTAGGGGTTCCGAGTTTGCGTGGCCTTTGTAGAACAGCCAGAAGATTGGGTTTCTTGACTGAATCCTAACCCCCACCAGTTTCACTCAAATTATTCATGGACTCAGCATTTTGGTTATTATGGACACAAATTCTTAATTTTCCAATAAACAAAGCAGTTGAGCTATTTTTCTATCATTAAGAGATATTTAAAAATGACTGCTAACTGAGAATGTCATGGTTTGTTGTTATTAGTTCACAGCACCTTAAACTGTTTAGTGTTTTTTCTCTGGTGTGTAATGACGGAAAGATATTTTGCATTTGTGCAGGCATACCTGCAGGCTCCGTTGCATGCATGCATCGCTGCGTTTTAGTTTTTGCACTAAGACTTTTTCAGCTGTTGTAGGCTGTTGCTTAACATGGCCAAAAGCCAGATATCCAGGGGATGAAGTTACTTCCAACCCGATTTAAATTCTACAAAAGTAGGTTCAAATTTGGGATATCTGGTGTGCCAAAAATCATTCAGGTCAATGTCTGTGCTGTTGTAATGTTAATATTCTATCATATAACTTGTGGTTGAATGATTCGTAGAAGAGTGTAAATTTTCAACGTTAACAACTATTTAAATATCATTATTATAAATAAATTTAAAAAAAAAAACAGTCCGACTTGCATGGCAGTTTCAGATATCATTGCCTTTTTATTTGTTTTGACACCTGACAGGTGACATTTTAGTTTATACATGTAACAAAAAATTTTATTTTATGTTTACATTTGTCTTTCACGTGTTTGTTTCAATTGTTATTAGTATTTACTACCTGTTGTGGTGTCTGGATGTAGTCTTCCAGGAGTGAAGAATTATCAAATTTCTCTTTGAAATGTTTCCATCATTCAGTCACAAGTTCTTTGCTAGCGCTTTGTTTTATGCTACATCCGTTATTAGAGACTGTTATCATTGTTTTTTTTGTTTGTTTGATGTTTGGCACTTGCTAATATATTATTTGTAATGAAAGTATGTGAACTGCACATTCTTTTGTTGTTGTTAATGCTTGTCAAACTGTTTATCCTGCATTAAGTGACAGAGCTTTACCTAAACTTGCATCATTATTAGTTTATTTATTAGCAAGACAAAGCACAAGATGACGCCTTTTGAACTACAGTTTGTACTTTATGGTTGAAAACACACAAAAATAGGCATTTACCAAGTAGATTTTGTAGGTAATTTTATTTCTTATTTCGATTCTGATCTTTGATGAGAAAACATTGTCTGGCTGGTCTTAAAATAGATTTATTTGTCTTGAGTGTTCCATCAAACATGCCCCCCTCTGATATGCTAATATTGCACACACACAAAGAATAGGAAATGTGTTAGATTACTTGCACTGGAGTTTATTCATATGCACATTAGTTCTGTCTATTTCGTTTAAATGTCTCCAATAGTGTTTGAGAGATACAGTATATTTCATGCAGCTTGTTTCAATTATCTGGGTGTCATTCATAATACCCATCTTCAGCTCCAACAGGAATGACTGATGTGTTCTTTAAACCGCTGAAATTCAACTTGAATTAAAAGCAATTGTGGGAAAACTTGCATAAGAATAAAGCTGTGTCAACATCTTCACGTCAAAACATAATCGTGTACTGCTTTCATTGTTTGTGTGCGTGTGAGAGATAGAAATTGTGTTTTAAATGGCTGTCAAATGTTACAAAGTACAGGACGGCATGTGGGAGGAATTGATCGTGGGCACGTCTGTGTGTTATGAGTCTTGCTTGCATTCATGTCAAACACTGCAGCTTCAGATAATGCGATGGGGAAAATGTTCCTATTGATGATACTGAATTATTAATTATTTTAGTTAATAAATAAAAACTTTCGGTTTCAAGTTATATGCCACAATGTGAGCTTACTACATACCAAAATCTCAGCCAGCTGTCCAGCATTCAGTGAAGGTCTCTTTAAGAAAAAGTGCTGTAATTCACTTGTGTACAATATGAAAACAAGGGAAAACCCTTTAAAATAATTTTGACAGTTTACCTCATTAGGCCACGCCCCGTTCGCTCATTCTCAACATCTATTGGTCCACGGATTCGCCTCGGGCTCTGATTGGTCAATTACCGAAGGTTTCCCTCAGAACTGCAAGACGCCGATATTGCGTTACATTGTAGCAAAATGGCGGCTGTCATTCAGAATCCACTAAAAGCGTAAGTAATTTAGACATTTATTAAACTGTGAATAATTACTTTGGTGCCAACTCGACCGTCGGAGCCGGTTGTTCGCGCGTGCCATTCCCAGCCGTGTGCATATGGCAGGCGAAGCTGTCCAAATTCATTTTGTGTACTTCTTTCACGGCAAAAGTAGCCCTGCACTGTTCTTTTATCGCGCTACATTTCAACGTTTAGTGTTAAACACGAGCGAAAAGCTGCTTGACATTTTCGCCGAGCTAAAGGGGCTTCTCCTCCACACGGTTCGGTTAACCCAGCAGAATGTCGTCTCTCCTGGGCTCTACATTTATTTGAAAACTGCCGACAACGTGTATCCGCCGCGAACGAACGAATAAAAAGCCGATTTCCTTCGAGCTCGGCTCGCGCACAGCGGCAGCGGAATAACCGTCGGACATTCCGAAAGTCGTTTACAGTTGCTGTGAATTGCCGACATGGTCAACTTTGGCTCGTCGGAGCGCAGACGTGCTCAGGACCTGGTAAAGCGAGCAAAAAGGAAAGAAAGGGAGGAGGTATTTTGTGTTTGCAAGCCTGTTGGCGAATTCAGCAAAAGTGACAGCAATTTGAATCTGCTGCTGAAAACTGGCTGTCACTTTGTGGTCAAATGGCATGTGCAACATATATTTTTAACCCTCAAATAAATGCAAATGCTTCACCTATTTCTTCTTTGTTCTATTCCATGTGTTTGGTTAGGCACACTTTACCTCTTCACAATAAAACATCCAACAGTTCAGTATTTTTCTAAACGTACATGGAGTTCAGCTGTACGTGACAGCAGCAGCAGTCACTATTGACTGCTCATGGATCTGTGGAGGTAGAGCTGGAGCTCCACTGTGCCTTTAAGTGGAGGAGTGCTGGAGATTAGCTTGGTCCAGGATCCTGGGCCCATCTGTCAGAGATGCTCTGACAGGGAGGAAGTGTTGGGCTCAAGAAGAAGAACCATCTGCTCCTGCACAGAGGTGCCCTGCCACCTCAGTGAACTGTAGCCCAAGGTGTGGACCCATGGGCTTGTTCTGAATCAGCAGTCAACTGGGCACAGATGTGTTTTCATCCAACCGTGGACCAAAACTCCAAAATACACAATCTGTAGCTGTGCATGTGCCTAATTGATCTGCTTTCACCATTTTTCTATCCCTTTCTGTCGTTTTTTTGCTTGTTTTTCCCTCGCCGTTTGACTCGTTTTCTTCATGATTGCTCATTCTTTCAGTTCACCTTTAAATCTAGTTCTTATGCTAATATTTGCGGTAGGGATGCACGATATTATCGGCACGGTATCGGACGATATTAGCGATAAAGTTAAATAACGGACATCGGCCATTCCATCAAAATAACTCGCCGATATAAAAGGTTTCTGTTTTAAGTTGATTTTTAATTTAAGAAATGGTCAAGTAGGTCTATGAATGCACTACTACTTATGCGCTTTTCACTTGTCGCTTGTGAACAGGTTGAGTTTAAGATTTGTGAAAATGTGCACTGTTTGAGTCATTGTTGTCATTGGAGAGTGGTGGCGCAGAGGTTAGAGAAGGTGGGCCTGTGATTGGAAAGTCGCAGGTTCAACTCCCCGGATTGACAACGTCAAAATGTGGGTGGAAAAGATGAAACGCCCACACCTGCCCCCACTCTTATTTGCCCCCCACCCTGGGCCCTTGAGCAAGGCCCTTAACCCCCACCATCTGCTTCAAAATGGTTCTCTCTTGAAAATGAGTTCTCGTGACTCAATGAGACTTGCCTGTATAAATAAAGGGTAAGTAAAAATAAATAAAATAAATTGTGTGAGAGTAAATGTCATGAATAAATTTGACATTAAACATAATCCAAGTTAAAGTTTTACGTAATTTTCAGACCTCTTTTTAACATCTGCATTTGGTAGCAGACCAAATTGACAAAGACCATGCAGAATAATGTAGTGTTTTAATTCTACAGCAGCGAAAGCTATGTAGTCTCTGTAAGTAGCTCTAGGGGGGAAAATATTGGTATTTGTGTCTGTTATCGTCCAATTAAATTTTAACATATTGGCATATCTGATATCGACCAAAAATCCAATATCGTACATCGCTAATTTGCAGCCATTTTAAAGTTTTGATTGTTTTGCATCCCTTTTTTAGGGCCCTGAAAGATGGTAAAACATTTAGTTTTTACTGTATATTTATTATTACCTCTTGCCTAAAGTGAAGCAGCAATCATGTTTTGTGTGCGTGTAGTCATTTGTCCACAGCTTTAGTAAAACATGCTTTGAGCCAATGATGACTAATGAAAAGCTCAGTAATCATTGGTCGTGCATATACAACTGCTTAACTTTTGGAACCATTCCATTTCAAGATGGTTGCCACAGCTAAATGACCTTTATCAACCCAAACATGTCTATAACTGAGCCAACTTTAGCTCAAGTTTAGAGACTGATCCTCAACACATGCGCTGAGCACGAACTGACTGTGAGATTTGTTTTTAAAACCTAGCCATTAAAATCTAAAAAAGTTAAATCTGGTCCTCTGGACATTCAAAAAAAAACAAAACAAAGCAAAACAACAAAAAATGTAGAAACGTTTCGTCTCTCGTCCGAGAGACTTCTTCAGTCTGAGGTGCTGTTTTCAGCTCAGTCTCTTAAATAGCACCTTCTCAGAGTGGATCAACCAGTTTTGCTGCTGACAACAAAAACCAGCTGATCACATGCTCAAGAAGGACCATCAGCCTAACAATGGATCATTAGCACACTGATGGCTGTTTACTGTTCACAGAGGGCTGAGTGATACTAGCAATCACAGCATTGTAAGAGGGGGACAGTTGAACACGTAGGCCTCCACCCCTGTTTAATGATGGACGGTTTCTTTTCACAAAGATGGCCTCCTTTACTCCTCTCTCAAACCATCGTTCCTCTCTGTCCAGGATGTGCACATCTTCATCCCTGAAAGAGTGACCGCTGGCCTGGAGATGAGTGTAGACCGCAGAGTCCTGGCCTGATGATGTTGATCTTCTGTGCTGGGCCATCCTTTTGGCCAGTGGCTGTTTAGTTTCCCCGATGTAAGACTGATCACAGCCCTCCTGACACTGAACAGCATACACAACATTACTCTGTTTGTGCCGGGGGACTGGATCTTTGGGATGAACCAGTCTTTGCCGTAATGTATTTTGGGGTTTAAAAGCCACTG